GGGGGGCGGGGGGCGGGGGGCGGAGATGCAGACGAGGGTTGGGACCCGTCGCCGCCAGGATGAGAGAAGCGAGACTGCCTGCGCATGTGCTGACCATCCCGTCCGCTAGGCTCACCACTCGGCGCATGCAAGTGCGTACAGTGCAGGAAGCCCACGATGCGGCGCCCGTCCAGGATGCCCACCTGCGCCTGCAACATCGTGGACGGCCCCAGCAACCCTCGCCGTTTCGACCCCACGCCCAGCCCTCTCTCAGGCCAGGGAGCGCCGCGGCCGGTGGGCCTGTACCTGTGCGGAAAGCAGTCCCTTGGAGGCCAGCGCATCCTCGCGACGTGCGTGGGGGAAGGATCGGAAGGCTGCGCGCAGCAGCGGATAACGTGAGGCCAGCAGCAGCCCGCTGCCGAGCAGCTTGAGGTGCGGCCCGGGCTGCAGGCCAAAGGAGCCCACGTCGTACAGCACCGGGCCCAGATTGGGCTCCAGGCGGCTGACGAGGCGGTGCGCCGCGCGCAGGTCGAACACCTCCTGCAGGCACACGAAGTCCAGACCTGCCGGCACCGCGGCTGTCAGCACCCCCCCGGGCGTCCCCGGCCCCGGCGGACTGCAGCCCGTAGTCCCATAGCCCGAGGGCCGCAGGCCGGCGAGCAGCGCGGCGCCTATAGCCTCCGCCCGCCGCTGGCTGTGCCGCAGGTTGTTGAAGCGTGCTAGCCCGTCGGGGAGCAGGCACAGGTTGGCGCTGAGGAAGCCAAAGCAGCGCGCGGGCTCAGCTGGGGGGCGCCAGGGCGCTGGGGGCGCCCAGTACTGCGGCGGGGGCCGGTAGCAGAAGGGGCGGCGCCAAGCCTGCAGGAGCAGCCAGAGCAGCAGGCCCGGCAGCGCCAGGGGCAGGCCGACCAGGAGCAGCAGCGGCAGCGTCGCCGCGGCGCCCACGGCTGAGGTCAGCGCGCTCTGGCAGCTCGGGCGCACCGCCGGCGCCCAGCAGCCCAGCAGCTGGTCCAGGGCCCAGTAAGCCGGGAAGAGCAGGCCTCGGGCCAGGCGGTGGAGGGCGTGCAGTACAGGGTGCGGGAAAGGAGACGGCCGTAGGGCACCCGGCGTTGGGGGCCAGTCGGGAGTGGATTGCATGGCGGCGCGCCTCTTGGCCTCGGGACGCCCCTGCGACTCAATCGCTGCCAGCTTGCGAATCGATTCGTCGGGGCGTCCGCGGGAGCTGCCGGGGAGTCGCGGGTCAAGGCTACGTGGCGCAAGCTGTGCGCGGAGCCGGGAAGGTGCTCCGGGACAGTGGGGGCGCAGGCGCAGGCGGAAACCAGCCTCCAGCCTCACGCGCGCGGAGTCTTAGGTGGCCGTTGGAGAGAACAAAAGGGAAAGCGAAAGGGACCCTGGTTTCGCAGCCACGCCTCAGATCCTCCTCGCCCGGCCCCGCCCTCCCCTGAAGGACGCCGGGAGAACCCCCAGACCTGCCCCACGGGAGCATGGACTGGGGTGCAGCTTGCACCAAGTGGAGAACGGTACTTTTTAGCGCCGGCCGGCTGGTGAAGGGAGTGCGGTGCATGCTGCGTCCAGCTCCCTCCCTTCTCCCCGCAAGCCCGCGCAGAATTGCGAGGGCCCTCCTGTTGCCCCGACTGCAGGGTCTACCCCACCCCCACCCGTCTGCCTGGGTTGCAGTGACCAGCAACTGAGTTCAAAGACACATTCCCCAGAGGAGGGACGGACTCTGAGCGGCCTAACAAGCCACCCACTGAGCGCCCCGCAGAGCTTCCCCCAGAGGCCTGTCCCCCCGTGGTGAGGGCTCTGTGACCCTACCCCAAGGAGCTTCCAATCTGGGGGTAAGGGACTGTTGGTTGGGCTTTGTGCCGCCGCTCCCTCCCCTCCCCCTCCCCCACACGTGAGCCACATGGAAACCAGCTCCCCATCCTGGGAGCCCTCTCGCACCTGCTCCGTTGGTTCCCAGGACCGTGCTGCCTCGCGCTCCTTCGGGTGCTGCCTGGGTCCCCACCTTTCTGATCTGAGCTGTGAACCAGACCCCAAAGCTCTCCTGGTTGGCTCTTAAATTGCCCTGTAGTTTGAGTCAGGGCTGCCATTAGCCTTACTGGCAGGGCGGGGGAGGGGTTTCTGGCCCCCCACCTCCCAATTCTCCAGGCATCCCTGATCCCCTTGAGAAACCAAGATCTGGTGCTGGCTGTGTTCCCTGTTCCTGGTGTGTCTTGATGCTGGGCCTTCTCAGCAGACAGAGCTAGATTTCTATCTATAGATCTCTACATATCTATAGGAGAGTCCTTCCCTGCCTTTCCTAGGGGTCTGGCTGGATCCCTTGAAGTAGCAGGCCTGGGAGTGGGGAGGGCAGAGAGGCAGGGAGCTCCTGGGCACACCCCACAACCCTCTCCTTCCTGCATCCCTCGCCGGTTGCTGATATGATTCCTCTGTTCCCTCAGAGTCCTCTGGCTGGTGCTCCAGGAGCCTCCTCTGCTGGGCTCATCGTTCCCACCTCCTCAGCCCACCCTCTGCCTCCCATTGCAGCTCCAGCCTCCTTCCCTTCCTCAGGCAGGTCCTCTCCTGTTCCCCTTGTGGGCCAGAGGCCACTCTGTGGGCTGCCCCCCACTGCCCTTCTCTTGTCTAGCACACACACCCTCGCAAGGACAAGCATCCTGCCTACATTGCCTCGTTTCCTGCACTGTCCACAGGCCCGTCCCATCTGTCTACAGGTTCCCCCTCCCGGTGTCCCGGTGTCCCCGTGTCCCGGTGTCCCGTCTTACAGCCCCTACCCCCACCCCACCTCTTTCCCATCCTGCCTGTGCTCCGCCCCTGCAGCAGGTAGGTTCTGCCCTCTCCAGCTCAGCCTCAGAGCCCTGTGGGGCAGCTCTCTTCTTGCTGGGCCAGCAGTGCCTTAGGAATTGGCCCCATCTCCCTGGGCTGCCCCTTGGCTCAGGTTTGGGTGAGGCTACTTTCTCCTGGTTTCTTCCCTCCATCTAACATCCTCTTGCCCTCAGGGAGGGCTTTGGACTCTCTCCCTCTCCCACTCCCCTCCTCCCAGCCTAGTACAGAGGGAAGGATTCCCCCATCCACATCCTGTCTCCTTCCCACTTCTGCCTTCCACTCTGCACCCAGGCTTCAGCTCCGGGCACATCACTAATGCTGCTGGAACGGCACTTCCTGCTCTCCCCCCTCCAAGTCTCAGGACTTCTGCTGCTCCCACTGCCAGGTGAGGGAAGCCTTGGGACCTTTGAACAGGACCCCCCCCCCGCCCCCGCCCTTAGCCAAACAGCTGCCAAGCTTCGGTCTTGGGGCTCTCACCAAGGCCCCTGGGGTGGGCATGGAGCCCCAGAGCAGGCAGGATCGAAGGGGTGCAGGGGAGTGAGGAGCTGGCCAGCCACCCCGGAGGTGCGCACCACCGAGCCCGGGCCCAGAGGCCAGCGTCTGTGAGAAGCTTTAATGGCTTTGCACCCGGCGGGGTGCGGGGCGGGGCAGACCCGGCCGCCCAGCGGGGTCACCAGATGAACATGGGCTTGCCGTCGTCGTGCGCCAGCTGGCTGAGACAGGAGAGCAGCAGCAGCGCGTCCGAGAGCATGCTGGGGTGCACATTCTCCACCAGCACGCGCTGCAGGAAATCCATGGTGTAGGAGCCGCCTTCCGAGGCAGCCAGCTCCGGCCTCTCTCGCAGGATGCCGTGGGCATTCACCAGCTGCTCGGTCAGTGCCGGGTGCACCCGCCCATTGTAGCCCAGGCTTTGTAGCCGGTTCATGATGCTCACGTAGCGCTGTGTGAGTGTCTGGCACAGCTCCTCATCCAGCTTGTGGTCGCTGGGGTTCAGGGAGGCCTGAGGGGAGAGTGGCCGTCAGGGTGTCTCCGCCCTGCACTGGTACAAAGCCAGGAGAGGGGCAAATGTGGCCGAGGGCCGTGGCTGTGCGTGGGCGCAGGTGTCCTGGACGTCCTGGGGGAGAGGCTCCAAGGGGTCTAGGGTAGGGGGAACCTAGTGGGTTGAGCTGGAGGGGGGAGTTCCCCAGACCCCATCCCTGTCACCTGCTCCACCCACCGGCAGGGAATTTGGACTGAGCTGAGGCTATGAAATGCTGACAGGGAGTGTGGCTGGGAGTCTGGAAGTGAAAGAAAGAGGAGGGGGTCCCTGATGGCCATGGGGGTGCCTGGCCCATACCACTCAGGGCCTTTCCCAGGCGCCCTCCTGGCTCCCTGCCCTGAGACCTCCACCTCCTCTCCAGGTCCCTTCTCTGCCACCCTGTGCTGCATCCTCAGCACCCACCACTTGCACCCCTCCTTCCGAAAGGCCCTGTCCTCCCCTCAGGCTGAACTGGCCACCCCAGGCCCTGAGCCAAGCACCCTTGGTCTCAGCACTGGGGGTCCTGCTGCCCCTCTGGTGACCCCTCCTGGTACCTGGACCTGGGGACTGGCAGCAACCGGCTGAGTGTCCACCCACTTCTTCATGCTGTGCCCCCCACCCAGGCAGTGACTGCGTTCCGCAGCATCCGCTCCTGCCATTTCCTCTTGGGCATGTGACCTGTACATTCACTCAGGGCCCCCTGTTCAGAAGGACCCACACCCAGCTAATGCTCTGCTCTACAAGGAGCTCTTGCCGAACAAGGAGCCCTGTATTTTCATTTGCATGGAGTCCTGCAAATGATGTAGCTGTCACAGGTGCAGCTGTGCCCAGACCCACGGATTGACAGGTCTGCAGTAGTTGGAGGGGGTCTCTCCCTGCCTGAGCCCTCCTGCACTTCCCACTGCCCCACCTCTTGGGGCCAGGGCCTGATCTGGCCCTGCTCCCCTGCTTCCAACCATTCCCTGGATGCCCACCAGGCTGCTTCCTAAGCCGCTAGAACAAGCTGCTTAGTCTCACCTTCTCCAGGAAAATCCTCTGTCCTCTCTTCTGGTCATGTGAACAGAACACTGGACTCACGGCTGGGCTCAGCTAAAGTGAGCCTGACCTCTGGCAGATGCACCCAGAGCCCAATGCTCAGCACTTCGGGTGAACAGTCAACACTAAAACAAGCCTGTCTCCTTGATTCTAGGCTCCTCTTGGCCCCTAAGCCTTCTCCCTCCATTTGCCTGTTCCCATGCCCCCTGTCAGCCAGACTGCAGGACCTCAGCCAGCATTTGTGGGTAAGCAGGTGAACCTTCATGCTGCTGAATGGCAGAGCGCAGCAGGTGGATAGCTTTAAGCGTCGGCCCCCCGTGGGGATGTCAGGACCCATCGTCTGCTCACTCTGGGGCTGGGGCTGAGCTGCTGTGTGCCACACTGCGTGAATGGAGCTCCAGACAGGAGCAGAAGTCCTCCAGGGGGCACACTGCACCCACCCTGCCAGGGTGCTGGGAGAGGAATGTGGGTGCATTTACACTAAGAGACAAGGCCAGGCCCGCCCCAAAGAGGTGACCCTTGAGAGTGGAGGGACAGGCGAGGGGATTGAGTGGGGAAGAGCAGGAAGGCACCCCACTGAAGCCAGGGAGCCATGGGCATGAGTCCCTACCACACCTTCCAGGCACTGAGAAGCAGGCAGGGCTGAGCAGAGAGCATGGCGGAGGGTTCTGTCCTAAAGGGTCAGGGACTTCTGGTCCATGGGCACTGTGGTTCTAAAAGATCATGCTGACCATATAAGGGGGTGGATAGAAGCGGGAAGAGAGGGTGAGGGTTCCGTGCGTCCATCCCACAGATGTTCTCAGCCCTCCCCTGCGTGCGGCACTGTAGCAGGTGATGGGATTCAAGTGTGAGCAAAGCCCTCTGGGTTTACAGTGATGACAAGACTGAGCAGGAGGAGTGCTTTGAGTGCTGCCATGGGGAGCAACCAGGTGGCCTGGGGGGGGCATTCTGGAGGGGAGAGGATGGCAGGGCTGACATCTGAAGGATGAGAACAACAGGAGCAAAGGCACTTCCAGGACAAGGAACAGCATGCATGGCATGGAAGGTGCCAGGAGGCACAGTGCAGAGCAAGGGGCCCACACGGAGAGCCGGTTTCAATGGCTGCTTCTGTCATCATACTGGGTCTGAGCCTCAGTTTCCCTGCTATGATATGAAGGAAACCAGACCGCCTGACAGCTGTTTTGGAAGTTGAAAGGAAATGTCTCCAGGGGGTGCTAAGCACAACATCTGTGCTGGTCTGCACCACCACAAGGGGCCACCATTTCCACAGGACACATCAATGGGCTCTCACATTGAGCAGAATTGTGTTCCAAAGGAATAGAGGAGAGAGGGGCTTTTCCAGGATGTTGGAGTTGGCCAGAGTATAGGTGTGTGGGGGTGGGGTGTGGGGGGGAGACAGCAAGGCCAACTCAGTGCCTAGCTCCCACCCTCAAACTCTCCTGCCCCTCATAGCATGTATCACCCCCTAAACCTCTAGCACAAATATTTATTGAAGGCCTCCGGGGAATGGGTGAGCTCCCCGAGGGCAGAGACTGTCTATTTGGTATGAACGTGGCATGCACTGAATGCCCCATAATAGGAGTGAATAGATGGAGGGGGAGCGTAGCTGTGGACCAGTAAAGTGGCAGCAGTTTGGTCCAGGGGTAGGCGACTGTAGATGCAGATGTGTACATGGGAAACGTCTGTAGAGGGAGAATCAGCAGGGGACCCTGTGTTGGATCAGCTGTGGAGGAGAGAACAGGTGTGACCAAATATGCACGCACCTCCAAGAGAGGGAGCACAGGTGCGCACCACCCCGTCTTTCCATCCTGGAACACCCACGACATTGGCCACGTGTTCAGTGATAGGGAAATGGCAGCAAATATGACAATCGGTGTGGTTCAGCCCTCGTTCTTAGAGCACAGGGCAAGTGCGTTAGACATCGAACTAAAGAGACAGCTGAATGCCCCTCCGATGATGGAGACTGGAGATGCCCCTAACGGATTCGGGGGTTAGAGAGGAACTCCAACGCAGTTTGTGAAATATGTGGACCTGGACAGCTCCCCGCCCACCTCGGGGGCGCAGCCCGAGCGCCGCGGGGAGCCGGGCGGGGGCGGGGGCGGACGTTCGGGGGCGCTGCCGCATTTCCGCGCCGGCGCGCCAACAGCAGAGCCCTCTCCCTCTGCCAGGATCCACCCCGGCTGGGATTCCTGACGCACCGCTGGTTAAACATTTTGCGTATCTCCCCGACCTGAGGGAACTTCCTTGCCCCAAACGTACTTACCAACAAAAGACATGTAAAGTAAAATAGCTTAAGTGCTCAGCCCAAGAAAGAGAAATAAAGCCAATCTAAAGCAAGCAGAAGGAAGGACATAAGCAGAAAGGAGGAAACAGTATCCTAAGGCCCAAAAAAATCCTAAGGCTCAACAGAAGTGCTCAGACAGACCAGATGGAGGATAGGCCCGGCACTCAGCCTCCCTCTGCGCGGGCAGCTCCGGGCGGAGACCGCGCTCCCGCCCTCCTGCCGCGAGGCCTGACGTCACTAAGCTCCAGCCAATAAGGTGAGAGTGAGGCTGTGAGCTCCGCCCCTGGGCCAAGCCCCGGACTTCCGACCCGCAAGCTGCTAGGGGTTGGACCGCAGGGTCCGACGGCCCGATGGGGGAAGACACCTGGTTGCCTTTCTGTCACAGCAGCAGGGCCTGTTCTCTAAAGAAGTAGCGAAGCTGCAGAAGTCATGAATAGCCGCAAACAGCATCTCAGGGCACTAAAACCACCAGGGATGCAGGGTGGTTTACGATCTGTATCTCGAGATGTTAAGAGAACAGGGAGGGAGGGAAAACTCATGTGATCTTTTCAATGAAAGAGAAAAAACATTCTAAAAAAAAAAAAAATCAGTATTTCTTCATGGTTCAGACTCCCCGCTCCCCCCAACTCTCCATAAATGAGGATGAGGAAGAACTTCTTAACCTGATGTGGCAGATGCTGAAGCGGGTCATCTGGCTTCTGTTCTAGTGCCTCTTTCCCGAAGCCGAAAGCCTTTTCGACTCCCCCTGTGGCTTCTGCCCAGGTGGAAGCAGATGCCTGGGGGCCAGGTGCCCCCCGGGTTTTCGGCAGAGTGCAGTGGCTGTGACCCCGTACCGACTTCTGTGGCCAGTTTTGTGTCGTCGCCTAAACATTTATAAGAAATCTCTTTCTGTTTACACCAGCTAGCGTGGTTTCTGTTATCTGCAGCCAAAAGCTGGGGCTTGAAGATCTGGCAAAAAGCATGGAACACACATCATACTTAACGCAGACTTGAAGTGTGTATTCCTAGTCGAGTCAGAAACAGGATGAGGTTGCCCTATTGTCTGCTTCTGTTAAGTAGTATACAATACGATTGTCTACATAGTAAAGCCAAGATGATATACAGGCTATTGGCACGGTAGCTGGAAACAAACCGTCAGGCAAAACCCAAAACCATCGTCGGCAGGCCAGTGAGTGAGGCCCCAGAGAGCGCCAGGGGCACCAGGACCCAGCTGGACACACCACCAGGTACCACCCTCATACTGGTGTGGCTGGACTCCTGGTCTGCCATGACTGGGAGCGAACGGCAGGCTGAGAGCACCCCCACTCCCCAGCAGAAGGCCTTTGCAACTGGGCAAAAGAAGTGACAGGTTGGGGCATTGGGACAACTTTTAGTTGAGCTTAAAAGATGGCATGGGTAACTGTGAACTTTTAAAAAAGATGGCCAGATTCATTGAAAATAGTCAATGAGTCCTCCTTGCAATGGGGCTCTATTAAAGCTTTTCAGTGATCAACCTATATGGCATTCACGAAGCCAATGAGCCAGATTTGGACACCAGGTTTGAGCAGGTTTAGTGGATGTGGATAGAATTGAGGGATTCTAGCAACAACCAAGGCTGGGGTTCAACATGCAGAAAAACAAGATGTTCTGAGGAAGGGAAACAGAAATTTGGGCAAAGTAGAATTGGATGCTGATAGGAACCAGCAAATGGGCCAGCAAAGCAGGCAGGATGGATGGCCTTAAGAGCAGGATGCATCTTTATGTTCCTCAGGTGGAACCAGACATCATCAACCTGCAGTGGGCTCTCCAGAGGACAAGCCAGGCGGAGTTTGCCCAGCCCCGAAGGCAACTTCTGTGCAGGTGGGCTGCAGTGGGGCCGCTTCTTGGGAGCCTGGGCGGCAAGTGTATGGCCCCTGGCAGCAGTGGTCATTGCTGAATGGGCCCAGTGGCTCTGGAAATGGTGATGGTGGCCATGGGGCAGAATGAGCAGATGAGTGTTTGGGGAAAGCCACAGCCCCCTCCCCACCCCCCCCCAGGCTGCCAAGATGGCGGCCGAGGCACTGGCCAAGGGGGTGCCGAGCTCCTTGACTTCCTCAAGACGCCAGAAAAATTTGCCCTACATACATCCCGCTCTCACCTTCCTGCCTCTTGTCCAAGAGTTGCCATTTAATGCCGTGACTGTTACCTTCTGTAGCATAGACGCTAACCCTCAGGGCAAGTGAAGAGGAGCCGGAATCAGCGGACTTGGACGGCCAGCATCAGTGGCTGACGGGTCTTTATCACCTTCTAACGGGCATTCTCAAACAGTAGGAAACCTCTTTTACCGCTTAATATCTAATTTCTGTGTGGGCAGCTAGACTTGTGCTTGTAATTCAATGTAATCTCTGCCAGTTGGATATCAGACGTAACATTTTAGAGACATAATATTGTGCTTCCGCTGTGTTGTTTGCCAGTTTTTAAAGAGCCATGGCCAATGTGCGCTTGTGACACAGCGGTGGTGGCCGAGGTCCCCGGACGTGAGTCAAGGATCGTCAGACCAAACGTGACCACGGTGGGCCTGCAGCATGAGCAACAGAAATGGCAGGTGCATAGGAACAACCAACATTGTGAAGATGGGAAACTTCCCTGGCAATGCAAAACTACACATTTGAACTAGGTTTTTCCTGGAGCTTGACGGATGATCCTAAAATTCAGAGTGAGGAGTGAAGGGTCCAGAGGAGCAGAAACAGTCTGGAAGAAGAGAGGTGCCCAGGCTCTGTCACCATCCCGTGCAGAGGACACCGTGGGCTGGGGAGGGTCAGGGGGCAGTCCCAACAGCCCACACACGTGGGCCCAGGAGGGAGGACCGAGGCAGGGCTGGACAGCTCCCCTTTGCCCTCTACCGCTCTAGCCTTCAGTGAGACATGAGAAGTACAAGCAATAAAGGAAAAGTGGATAATTCTGACCACATTAAAATTAAAAACCCAACCAAAGGACACCCTAAGCAAAGGAAAAGGCAAGCTCAAACCTGGATACAAACGAGCCCACTCTAATAGAAGTTATTCCTGCGGATCACACACCAGGTCTATAATCTATAGATAAAGAGGCCTGAGAGAAAGTGGCCGGGAGCACTGAAGGCTATTTCCCAAAGAAGGCCCAGATGGCCCACCTCCCCCACCCCGAGGCATGGGGTCCCACCCAGAGCTGGCACATTGGTGGGGGACGGGCACACATGCCGTCATTCTGGACAGCTGCTTCTGGGTATCCAGCCAAGCACAGCCCATATCCCATGACTGCACCCCACCCCTCCATTGCTTTGGAGGGTTTCCCACGCATGGTGGCAAGGTAGACACGCCCAAGCACCTTTGGGAAGCATTGTCCTCTGTGTCCCTCAACGGAAGCAAGCTCAGTGAATGGCATGCTAAGAATATACTGGAATGAGCCTGGGCCTGAGGCCCCTGGCCATGAGGCCGCCAGCTGGTCAGAGGTTCTGGGACCTGCCTCCCCTTTGCCTGCCTCCCCAGTGACCCTTGAGGGTACCAACGGGGTGGGGAAAGCATCAGCTCTGCTAGTCTGGGGAGGGCCCCTGGGAGTGAGGGCTGGCCATATGGAGACCATTGCAGTGGCAGAGGAGAGTGCAGGCCTGACCATGCTCAGGACCCTCCCCTGCCCTGTCCTCTGGGGAAGCCATGTGGCTAAGGCCACAGGCTCCTGATGCCAGATGCCCTGGACACCCCCTGGCCACTTGGACTGAACACCGTGCTTCCTCCATCCTAGGGGGTCCTCGGATTCTGACGTGCTTGGCCAGGCTGGAGGGCAGGGTCCCCCAGCAGCTCCTCCAAGGCCAGCATGCTTCCCATCCCTGACAGGTGGAAGGGGCAGACCCTCTGAGTGGGAGATGGGCGCCACACACCTGGATGATCTTCTCTGGAATGTTGGAGACAGTGAAGCCGTAGAGACGCACGCGCTCAGGGAAGATGCTGGACAGGATCCTGCGGTCCAGCTGGAAGGCAATCTCCCCCACCAGCCTCTCCCAGACTACCTGCTTTGACTCTGGGGAAAGCAAGGGGTGGAAGGAGTGGTCAGTGGTCATGGTCAGCAGCCCAGGCTAGTGCCAGGGAGGTCCACAAGGGCATCAGGGGAGACCCCCCCCCGTGTTGACCTTGTGTCACTGACCTCGGGGGCTCTCAGGGAACTTGCTGGTCTTTCGGTGGGCTAGCTTCCGTTCCAACTCTAGGATGCTTTTCCGAGATGTCTCTGCGCCACGTGGACCCCGGGTGTCGTTGACTGTAGCCGGGGAGGATGAGGTTCGGGGCGGGGAGTGGGGGTTTCGTGGAGGGGAGTGGGGGGTGGGCGAGGGCTGGGTGGGGGAGTGGTGTGCCCGGGTGGGAGACTGGGGGGGGCACTGGACAATGTGGGTGGTGCTCGAGGGGGTGTAGTTGGTGGTAGCTTGGGGGGCGGGAGTAGGGATAGGGACGAGGACTGTGGCAGTTGGAGAGACAGGTGGGGTGGTGGGGACAGATACAGGAACTGCTTGTCCCTTAGGGGCACTGGGCTGGGTCTGGGCCTCTGAGCTGCTGTAGGAAAAGGTGGTGATGGGGCCAGGCGTGCCCCTAGTCCCGATAGGGGTGGAGGCCTGGATGGGTGAGCCCACAAACGTCATGCTGAAGGGCTCCAGGTCCTGGGTCGGCTGGGGAAGCTCAGTGGAGATTGGGACTAGTGACATGGTGGGGCAGAAAGGAGAGAAGTAGGATCAGAGCAGGACCAAGGACTGGCCTGGTGGTGGGGAGGGGGGCTGTTGTCCCTCCCCCTGAGCCAGTTACCTTTGGTGGTGGCGGCAGGCCCTGCTCCAGCTGAGGGATGGGGTCTGGAGGGGCATCCTCGGAGCGGCTCTGACAGCCGCACCCTCGGGGCCTCCGACAGCACCAGATTGCTCATGGGGTTGGCCAGAAGGTTCTGAGAAACACCTAGAGGAGCAGCCATGGAGGTGAGCAGGGGGCTGCTCAGAGAGACGGCCACTGTGCCTGTCATAGGGGCCATCAGGGGGCTGCTTGGAGTCAGGGGGCCAGTTGAGGGCAGACCCAGGGAGCTGGTCAGTGTGCCCCCCGGGGACACTGCCATGGGGCCAGTCAGGTGGCTGCTCAGGGGGCCAGTTGAAGGCAGACCCAGGGAGCTGGTCAGTGTGCCCCCCGGGGACACTGCCATGGGGCCAGTCAGGTGGCTGCTCAGGGGGCCAGTTGAAGGCAGACCCAGGGAGCTGGTCAGTGTGCCCCCCGGGGACACTGCCATGGGGCCAGTCACGTGGCTGCTCAGGGGGCCAGTTGAAGGCAGACCCAGGGAGCTGGTCAGTGTGCCCCCCGGGGACACTGCCATGGGGCCAGTCACGTGGCTGCTCAGGGGGCTGGTCAGGAGGCTGGTGAGCGGGATGCTCTGTGACATGGACCCTGGTCCAGGGAGCAGTGTGTTGAGGGGGCCCATCAGGGGGTTCACGATGGCGCCTGCTGCAGGGCTGGGCTGTGGGCTGTTCAGCATGTCGGCCAGGGGCGCCAGAGTCATAATCCCCACTTCATCCAGGATAGGCTCATTTGTGGCTGCCGGGGACGGGGGCAGGAAGACACCTGGGGGGACACAGAGAAAGCACTGAGACCCCAGGCAGGCCCATCAAGGAAGGGGCCTAGGCCAAGGTGCTTGTCTGCCTCTGATGAGCTGACCAGCTCTGAGCCTCATCTCTTAGTGGGCCAGACAATGGCTCTCTACCTTAGGGGGCTTCTGGGGGGCGCCTCCACGGATCCCCCATGAGGGTCTGGCCTCTTGTCTCTCCATCTGCTCCTCCAGGCTCACTTCTCTGAACACCTGTCCCCGAGTCATAGGGACCTTCCACAGCTGCCCACCCCTCAGATGTGCCCGCTGCTCTGAGCGGCTGACGCCCCACCGAGGAGCGTCTTCTGGCGGCTGGTCCCCCAGGTTGCCAAGTTGACCCATCCATTCCCTGGTAGGGAGCAGTGGGTCCCGGCCTCCTGCCCACTGTTGTTGTGGGGATAGCCTCCCCAGGTGGGGGGCCCTCAGGGAGGCCAGGGCTAGAATAAGCACAGCATCTCTGGGAACAGTAAATGCGGGTTCAAGAGGGTGGGTTGGCCCAGACATGTGGCTTCACACTCCTGGATCCCTGTGTTGGGGCCTGAGAGCCCATTTCTCTTGGGTTCCTGAGGACAGTGCCCTTGAATGACCACTGTTGTGGGCGAGAAGACCCCTAGGGCCGCAGAAGCTGGGGGGAGGGTGCGGGGAAGGTTTTAGTTGAAAACTGCTACCCTTGTTGTTGTTCTAAAAGCCATACGTGCTCACTGCAGAGAAAGAACGGAGCTACAGAAAAGTGAATGTAAGATTAGAAACCTCTAGTCCTCTCACCGCACTGTTAGTCATAATACAAAGCTCTGTGTTGCCTTGAAGACTTTCTCCACACGTTTTATAAACCAGGGGTCGACGAACCTATTCTATTAAGGGCTGCTGGTACACATTTCCAGTTTTGCAGGCCGTGTCTGGTCTCTGTTGTAACAACTCAGCCCAGCCGCTGTGCGGGCAAAGCGGCCGCAGACAACACGGAAACAAATGTGGATCCATAGCAACCAAACTTGATTCACAGACGCTCATATTTGAATTTCGTGTACTTTTGGCATGTCTGGAAATAGTATTCTTTTGATTTTCTTTCAACCATTAAAAATGTAAAATGCGTTCTTAGCTCCAGGGCCACGGACCAACAGGTGGCAGCCTTATCTGTCCTCCTTGTCCTTATGTCCTCCCCGTCTTCTTGCTGGATGGCCTCCGGCCACCCTTCTCTGAGAACAGCACTCATTGTGGCTGCCGGGCTCGGGCTCAGGCGTGTGCTGCGGTTCATTGAGCCTCTTCCAATCCTTGGGCATGCAAATTGATTCCAGTTTTCCCAGTGACAAATAAATTCTACTACATAAGCCTTTTTTTATTAGGTTTTTAATTTTAATTCCAGTGGAGTTAACATACACCGCAATATTAGTTTCAGGGGTACAATATAGTGAGTTAACACTTGCACGCATCACCTGGTGCTCATCAGGACAAGTGCACTCCTTAACCCTAATCCCCATCACCTGTTCCCCCCCTCCCCCTGCACTGGCGACCATCAGTGTGTTCTCTAGGGTTAAGATTCTGTTTCCTGGTCTGCCTCTCTTTCTCTTTCTCTTTCTTCTTTTCTTTTCTTTTCTTTTCTTTCCTTTCCTTTCCTTTTCTTCTTTCCTTCCTTTTTCCATTTGCTTGTTTCTTAAATTCCACATGTGAGTGAAATCATATGGTATCTGTCTTTCTCTGACTTATTTCGCTTAGCATAATACTCTCTAATTCCATCCACATCATTGTAAATGGCAAGATTTCATTTTTTTTATGCCTGAGTAATATTCCACTGTGTGTGTGTGTGTGTGTTGCATCTTCTTTATCTGTTCATCTGTCGATGGACACTTGGGCTGCTTCCATATCTTCGCTATTGTAGATAATGTTGTTATAAACATAGGAGGGGCATGTATCCCTTTGAATTAGTGTGTTTGTATTCTTTGGGGTAAATACCTAGGAGTACAGTTGCTGGGTCATAGGGTAGTTCTATTTTTAACTTTTTGAGGAACCTTCACACTGTTTTCCAGAGTGGCTGCACCAGCTTGCATTCCCACCAACAGTGTAGGAGGGTTCCTCTTTCTCCGCATCCTCGCCAGCATCTGTTGTTTCCTGTGTTGTTGATTTTAGCCATTCTGACTGGTATGAGGTGATATCTCGTCATGGTTCTGATTTGTATTTCCCTGAAGATGAGTGATGTTGACCATGATACCTGCGAAAATCTTTATTATTGATTCTTCCCCCTGAAAACAGACATTCTAGTGGTCCTTAATGCACACTGCTAAATCTACCTTCTGTAAGACCCCTCAGAAACATTCTTACATTCCTTCGGAAGTTCCTGGGCTTGTTGCTTAAATCTATGCCCCTGGAACACTCTACAGAATGTGTGGCAAGATGTCCTGAAACTTTACTTTTTAAGATTTTATTTATTTATTTGAGACAGAGAGTGAGTGAGAGCACGAGCTGGGTGTGGGGCAGAGGAAGAAGCAGGCTCCCTGCTGAGCAGGGAGCTGGACATTGTGCTTGATCCCAGGACCCCGAGATCATGACCCGAGCTGAAGGCAGATGCTTAATCGACTGAGCCACCCAGGCGCCCCAAGAAAATGACAAACACTTTTGAAAGAAATTAAAGAAGACCTAAATAAATGGAAAAGCATCCCATGGGGAGCAATACTCCCCAAGTTCACCTGCAGATTCTATGCAATCTGTCAGAATCCAAACTGACTTCTTTGTAGGACTGACAAGCCGGTCCTAAAATTCACAAGGGATTGCAAGGACCCAGAATGGCTGAAGCCACATTTTAAAAGAGAGAAGGCATTATTACAGGCGCCACTTAGCTACCCTGCACTTCTCCCTTTTACACTACCTAAGCAAAAAAGAGACAGGGAAGAAAGCAAGGGAGAAAGGAAAAAGTTGGAGGACTCAGTTTCAGATTTCAAAAGTTACTACAAAGCTACAGTAATCAGGATTACATGGCACTGGCATAGTGAGGGACATATAGATCAATGGAATAGAATAGGGAGTCCAGAAATAAACCCATGTATCTGTGGTCTGATTTTCAACAAGGGGCCAAGACAATTCATTGGGGGAAAGAATAATCTTCTCAAAAAATGGCGATGGGTCTACTGGAATCCACATGTAAAAGAATGAAGTTGGATGCCTACCTCACACCATATACAAAAGTTAAATGGATCAAAGGCCTAAATGCAAGAACTAAAACTATAAAATTCTTAGAAGAAAACACAGGGGTAAATTTCCAGGACCCTGGATTTGGCCATGTATTCTTAGATGTGGCCCCAAAACTGTGAACAGCAAAAGAAACAATAGATGAGATGGATTTCATCAAAATTAAAAGCTTCTGTGTTTCAAAAGACAAAAGAAAAGACAACCCATGGAATGGGAGAAAGTATTTGCGAGTCATACATTTGATAAGGGACCTGTACTCAGAATCCCTAAAGAACTCTTACAACTCAATAATAAAAAAATAAGTTGCCCAACTTTAAAACGGGCAAAGGGCATGAACAGACATTCTCAAAGATGATATACAAATGGACAATTAGCACAGAAAAGATGCTCAGCATTATTATGCATCAGGGAAATGCAAATCAGAACCACTTCACCCTCACTGGGATGGCTATAATTAAAAAATCAGATAATAAGTATGGGTAAGGATATGGAGAAATTGGAACACTCCTACATTGCTGGTGGGAATGAAAAATAGTGCAGCCACCTTGGGAAACAATCTGACAGTTCCTCAAACAGTTACACATACATTTACCATATGACCCAGCAATTCTACTCTTAGATATATACCCACAAGAAATGGAAACATAAATCCACCCAAGAACTCGTATATGGTTGTTTATAGCTGTGTTATTCATAATGGCCCAAAAGAGGAAACAACCCAAAAGTCCATCAACTGATGAATGGATAAAATGTTGTGTATCCATTAATGACATATTATTCATCCATGAAACAACAACAAAAACCTAATACCGACTGGAAGTACTGGTTCACTCTACAGCATGGATGAACCTTGAAAACTCTGTGCTAGGTGAAAGAAACCAGACACAAAAGCCACATACTTATGATTCCATTTAAAAGAAATATCCAGAATAGGCAAATCCATAAAAACAGAAAGTAGATAAATGGTTGCTGAGAGTTGTAGAGGAATAGGAGCATCATAGCTAAAGAGTTTCTTTCTGGGGTGATGAACGTGTTCTAAAACTGTGGTGATCTTTGTAAAAACCTGTGAGTATATGAAAAACTATTGAATCACACACTTTAAATCGGTGAATTGTATGGTGTGTGAATTATATCTCAATAAAGTTATTTTAAAAAGGATTCATTGGGGTCATATGCATTTAGGTTTCCAGGAAAAACATTCATGGTTCAGGGACCAACTAAATGCACCCACAGAGCATGGAGGAGTGTGTGTCCACTGCTCAGTGCCAAGACACAGTCTTCATAGAGTTTGCAGTCCATCAGGGTCACCAATGAGAATCTCAGGAGCCACCTGGTAGAAATATCTGGCTGCGAGATGGGGAAATGAGTTTGGGGAGCACCAGTAATACTTAAGCCATGACATGAGGTGTGAACAGGAATGTTCTACCAGGGGTCCGCAGCCAGCCTGTTTAAGAAATTTCAGTCTCAGATACCATCTGATTTCACTCATATGTGGAATTTAAGAAACAAATGAGCAAAGGGAAAAAAAAGAAAAAGAGAAAGAGAAAGGCAAACCAAGAAACAGACTGTTAAGGATAGAGAACACCCTGATGGTGACCAGGGGGTGGGGTGGAGTGGGGGGCGGAATGGGTTACATTGAGGATGGGGATTAAGGAATGCACCTGTTGTGATGAGCACAGGGGATTGAATGGAAGTGTTGAATCAGTATGCTGTACACCTAAGATTAATATGACGCCGTATGTTAACTGAAATCTAAATAACAACTCAACTAGACATTTCAGTCCCATAGCTTTGTGTTCTAATGCAAAGAATACATGTGATGGTTTAATCTTTTTATAATTTGCATTTAATTGATTGATTTTTTCTTTTCTTTTTTTTAAGGTTTTATTTATTTGACAGAGAGAAAGACAGCCAGAGAGGGAACACAAGCAGGGGGAGTGGGAGAGGGAGAAGCAGGCTTCCCACGGAGCAGGGAGCCTGATGCGGGGCTAGATCCCAGGACCCTGGGATCATGACCTGAGCCAAAGGCAGACGCTTAACGACTGAGCCACCCAGGCGCCCCTGATTGATTTTTTTCTTAAGATTTGACTTATTTATTTATTTGACAGAGAGAGACACAGCGAGAGAGGGGACACAAGCAGGGGGAGCGGCAGGCAGAGGGAGAGGGAGAAGCAGGCTTCCAGCCGAGCAGGGAGCCCGATGCGGGGCTGATCCCAGGACCCGAGCCGAAGCAGACGCTTAATGACTAAGCCACCCAGGTGCCCCTAATTGATTTATTTTTTTAAAAGATTTTATTTATTTATTTATTGGAGAGAGAGAGTGCGCACCATGCACCCATGCAGGGAGGAGCAGAGGGAAAGAATCTCACGGGGACTCCTCCCTGAGCAGAGCCCCACACAGATCCCACTTCCAGAGATCATGACCTGAGCAGAAACCAAGAGTCTGAGGCTTAACTGCCTGAGCCACCCAGGGGCCTGATTGATTTTTTAAAAAAAGACTTTATTTTTAATCTCTACATCCAACATGGGGCTTAAGCCCACAACCTCCAGATCAGTCACGTGCTCCACCACTGAGCCAGCCACCAGCCCCTGCATCTTTTTATAATTTATATTTAATTGATTTAGATTTGTAAGTTGAAATCTTCCCAGGTTTAGATACAGTATTAGAACCTTAAAGAGAGCTTTAGATTCACTGCCTTTATATTTATTTTACATGTAACAATTATTTAGGGTCCAGGAAGGTGTGTTACATGGGACAATTAAAGTTAGACAAGCAAATGTCTTAGATTTACAAATGCACTTTACAATGTTTTTTTAAGACTTATTTATTAGAGAGAGCAAGAATGAGAGAGAGAGAGAGAGAGTACACGAGAGGGGCAGGGTCAGAGGGAGAAGCAGACTCCCTGTTGAGCAGGGAGTCCGATGTGGGACTGGATCCTGGGACTCCAGGATCATGACCTGAGCGGAAGGCAGCCGCTTAACCAACTGAGCCACCCGGCCCCCCACACTTTACAATGTTTTAAACTGCTTTACTGAACTTCTGACCACCCCCAACCTGCACCTTCCAGCGGCAGTCCCTGCTTCGCGCCGCCGCCCCACTGCGGTCCCGGGCTGGTGGTGGTGGTTGGGGGGGTGTCCAGCGCCAGGCCCCTCACAGGCCTCCCGCCCACCGCC